AAAACACCACAGTTGTAATGTTGCACACATTCAAAACACCACAGTTGTAATGCTGCACACATTCAAAGCACCACAGTTGTAGTGCAGCACACATTCAAAACACCACAGTTGTAATGTTGCACACATTCAAAGCACCACAGTTGTAATGTTGCACACATTCAAAACACCACAGTTGTAATGCTGCACACATTCAAAGCACCACAGTTGTAATGCTACACACATTCAAAGCACCACAGTTGTAATGCTACACACATTCAAAGCACCACAGTTGTAATGCTACACACATTCAAAGCACCACAGTTGTAATGCTACACACATTCAAAGCACCACAGTTGTAGCGCTGCACACATTCAAAGCACCACAGTTGTAGTGCTGCACACATTCAAAACACCACAGTTGTAATGTTGCACACATTCAAAACACCACAGTTGTAATGCTGCACACATTCAAAGCACCACAGTTGTAGTGCAGCACACATTCAAAACACCACAGTTGTAATGCTGCACACATTCAAAGCACCACAGTTGTAATGTTGCACACATTCAAAACACCACAGTTGTAATGCTGCACACATTCAAAGCACCACAGTTGTAGTGCAGCACACATTCAAAGCACCACAGTTGCAATGCTGCACACATTCAAAACACTACAGTTGTAGTGCAGCACACATTCAAAATACATAATCAGAGAATTTTTTGCAAAATTATTTTATTCTTTTTATTTACAGCAATATAACTTTATCCATGACTTTCGAAGAATTTTGGAAGAACATGAAAGTAGCCAGGAAAATGAAATACGATCTATATCAAGATAAAAAAAACTATCTATTTTTCATCACAAAGCAGTGTCAGCTTGGTTTGTAGATTGAATCAGGGTAATGCAGATATTTTGGGTACTGTAAAAGGCACCCTAGTATACTGGATTTTTTTTTTATTTCTGCTGTATATAATAATCATTTGTAAAGGTTTCACAACTGTAATGTATTGCTTCACAAAATTCTAGCCAAGATGGCCGACTGGCAGCCACTTTTTTTTTTTGCACAATTCAGCCAATGTATCCAATTAGGTCCAAATTTAAGAACATATCCAATTGTATTCTAGCATCAATCTGTGTCACAATACAAGGCTTGCTCTTTTTGCAGATACACTTAGTTTGAAAATGTACAATTCGAAAGTGTTTTTGTCAGTAAATTGTGCCCTAACCTGTTAAGATGCAATATTGAATTACAATAGAGTTAAATTGAGATTCAATTTGGTAAGTTTAAATATCAACAAGTTACATGTGCTTGGCTAGGACAGCGTGTAACAGTTGTGAAAGCTTGTACTGAGTTCTGTTATTGGGGAAATTATGTGAATTTACACCATGATATTCATGTGAATTTTTAAAAATTCTAATCATGTGGACTCATAGGAATATAAATTGTAATAAAACTAACCATGTATAGGCACTTCCTGCCACTGAATGAGGAAGTTTTATATTGGCAAGTATCAGAGGTGAAATCATGTAAAACAATTATTTTTCTTTTTGTCTTATTTTATTTTAATTAAATTTCTATCATGATTTAAAATTCATTGACAAACTTTTAATTATGATTCTAACAAAGTATTTATATAAAAATAAAGAAATTCATATACCGTGATTAATATATTATTAGTCTAGGAAAAATCATAATTGAAAATGGCGCCCCCTATAGTGGACTATAGCTATATCTTTTGCCTGAGAGTGTTCAGCGAAGACTTGTGTATTGCAGTAATAAGTACTGCAGTGTTGATTGGAAGAGAATTTGCCATGGTAACCAAATCTATCTGCTGATCTTTCTCTGTATTGCAGTTGTACATCTCATTGCATCGCTTTTGTTGTGGGTATACTGTAGAATACTTTATTTTCGCTTGGAATTTATTTTCGCTGAAGGGATGATTCCGTGAAAATAAAATCCAGCGAATATACTTTTTTTCCTATATTTCACATTCAACTCATCCAAAAATCAGTGAAAATAAATTCCACAAAGAACGCCCAAAAAGCCTTTTCAGCGAAAATAAAGTATTCCACAGTAGTACCAGTACAGAATATTTGAAGCCATGTGATACTGAGCCACATGAATACACACTGGTGTAAAAAGGTTAGGGCGGAAACGACTAATGTTTGATCAAGACAAAGCACAACAGTCGTGCAGCGCAGTACATGTTTGAATTTTGTAAGAATAATGTAATTTACATGTGTTGTATAGTGCTGTAGATAAAACTTCTTTATTTTTCCTGATATTGTGTTATTTGATTTATTTGTAGTAAAGATAATTGCAATATGAACGGCTATTGCAATTCATAGGTCATTTGCATAACTGAAAGTATTAAAAAGTATTATTAAGAAAGAACAATAGGAATCCTGGGTTTACTGGCCATCAGGTATTTTCTTAGACAAACATTGTTATGACATATGAACTACCGTATTCGCCTTTATCTAAGTTTTCAGATGATATATTATAGGTTGTTAGAATGGCATACTCAATAACTCAACAGTAAATTAACAGGTTGCAAATGGACAGAAAAATTAATGAGCATGACTCGAACTAACCAGTTATATCACAGGATGCTGGGGAGGAAAAACAATATGACCAAATATTCAACATATTTATCAATTAATATTCTATACATTTCAATGTGTTCCAGTGTAAAAATTTAATGCAAGTTTAAATAATCTTCTTCAGTGAAACTACACAACACACATATATTCACAGTGAGACTTGCTTTCATGTTGTGTTAATACAAACATGATTTAAACTTGTCCTGTCTGGTGTTTTTTCTTTGGCAACGTATTCAATAAACTGAAATAGCATGTGTGTTTGCGTGAGTGAGTGAAAGAGGCTGGTATGACTGTGTCACAACATGTTCTATTTATTTCCAACATGCGTGGTTTGGCGCCTTTGATTGCGTTTATTTTGTATTTTTATTTTCATTTTCAAGATGTATCACTGGCGGCGTTTGTTTTCTCATGTCTCGCAACTGAAAGTCCAAGCTGACTTTATTTTAGCTGTATAGTAGACATAACTCTGTGATTGCTGTGGTCACTGCTGAATCGAACAGAGGTAATGGGAATTAGGAAAAATAATTATTTCTTCATGATTGTAATTTGAAGACCATTTCCAGTGTTATGAAATTGATTAAAAAAATAACCATTTTTAGGAAAAACTAATTTCAGAAATGGCATGGCTACTCATGCCATCTTATGAAAAAAAAAATGTTTTTTTTTTTCAGGCATATTCAGAAAATTTAGAATAATTTGATATCTGCCTTGGGCAGTTACTTTGCCAAATACAAGTACAATACATGGTAAGGGGACAGTCACAAAGACAATGTATGGTAAGGGCACAGGGACAATGTATGGTAAGGGGAAGTCACAAGGGCAATGTATGTTGAGGAACATGGATATAGACATTGTAAGGGACAGTGTATGGTAAGGGGGAGTCACAAGGACATTGCATGGTGAGTGGACAATCACTAGGACATTGTATGGTGAGGGGACAGTCACAAGGACAATGCATGGTAAGGGGGAGTCACAAAGACATTGCATGGTAAGGGGACAGTCACAAGGACAATGTATGGTAAGGGGGAGTCACAAAGACATTGCATGGTAAGGGGACAGTCACAAGGACAATGTATGGTGGGGGACAGTAACAAGGACAATGTGTGGTAAGGGGACAGTGACAAGGACAATGTATGGTAAGGGACTATCACAATGACACTGTGTCACACGCAACGTAATATTACCGTAATTGGTATAGTACAGGTGTGATGGTTCAAATATCAAAATGGCAACAGTAACATAAAGACTTCCCTGGCGGCGATGATAACATACGAACACGGAGTCAACAGATGAGGTTTCAACTGGTACTGGTATTATTATACTCTGCAAACATCAAGTACAATAACTCGGTAAAACTCCAAACCTCCAATAACTAGATACTTAAACTCCAACACAATTCAACGAGATCTCCGATCTGAACTCAGTGCTGAACAACTCCCCTATATATACCCACACTGTCTATAAATAGACCATTACATCAGCATACATAATGAGTCTGGAACTTACTACAAATTTCTAGAATGTTCCATTACCTTCTATGCCTTCTACAGTGTCCTATTACCTATTCAACCAACTTCTAAAAATTCCACCCAGACACAGTACGGTTCTAGAACATTCTCAGTCACACGGAAGTGGTAAACAAGTCGTATGCGGCACACTGGTAAGCGGCAATCACAAGGACAATGTATGGTAAGGGGACAGTCACAAGGACAATGTATGGTAAGGGGCTATCACATTGACAATGTATGGTAAGGAACAAGAACAATTTATGGTAAGGGACAGAACAATACCAATGTATGGTAAGGGACAATCACAAGGACATTGTATGGTAAGGGACAGTCGCAAGGAATGTATGGTAAGACACAATCACAAAGACAATTTATGGTAAGGGGACAGTCACAAGGACAGTGTATTGTAAGGGACAAAAACAAGGACAATGTATGGTAAGGGACAGTCACAAGAACAATTTATGGTAAGGGGACAGTCGCAAGGACTGTATTCTAAAGGACAATCATAGGGACAGTGTATGGAGACGGACAATCACAAGGACAATGTATGGTAAGGAACAATCACAAGGACAATGTATGGTAAGAGGATAATCACAAGGACAATGTATGGTAAGGGGACAGTCACAATTACAATGTATGGTTAGGGGACAGTCGCAAGGACTGTATTGTAAAGGACAATTACAGGGATAATGTATGGTGACAGACAATCACAATGACAATGTATGGTAAGGCACAAGGACAATGTATGGTAAGGGGCAATCACAAGGACAATGTATGGTAAGGGACAGTCACAAGGACAATGAATGGTAAGGGACAGTCGCAAGGACAATGTATGGTAAGGGGACAATGACAATGTATGGCAAGGGGACAGTCACAAGGACAATGTATGGTAAGGGGACAGTGACAATGACAATGTATGGTAAGGGGACAGTCACAAGGACAATGTATGGTAAGAGGACAAGGACAATGTATGGTAAGGGACAATCACAAGGACAATGTATGGTAAGAGGACAAGGACAGTGTATGGCAAGGGACAATCACAAGGACAATGTATGGTAAGGGGACAATGACAATGTATGGTAAGGGGACAGTCACAAGGACAATGTATGGTAAGAGGACAAGGACAATGTATGGTAAGGGACAATCACAAGGACAATGTATGGTAAGGGGACAATGACAATGACAATGTATGGTAAGGGGACAG